GGGGGGGAATCTTGAGAGAGAATAGGGGCCTCTTGAACGATTGGAGAGGACTCTTGAGGGATGACCGGTGAGTCGGGCTTCTTCTTGCGGAGTCTTCGCACCATTGGGGTGAACGGAGACGTAATAGCACGTCCACGCTGTCTAATGCGTGAACTCCGTCGTGCAAGGAAAACCCGACGTAAAGCATCAACCTTATCGGGCCGCTAAAAAAAATTAATACATAAATCAGTAAATAAACAGACATGATATTAAACAAAGACAAATATGTTTCAAACTAGCATTGTATTCACCCAAATCATTATTCTATCATAGTTCACAAAATGCTCAGATAACATTCCAGAAGTAAGCACTTATAAAACATTTAAAAGGACAACATATATAAACATTCCAGAAGAAGAATAGTTTACTTTCGCAACACGAAACTTAAAATCGCAACGCGAAATGACTATCGCAACGCGGAAATGGCTATCGCAATGCGAAATGAAAATCTCAACGACAAAATCGCAACGCGAAATGAAATCGCAACGACAAAATCCCAACGCGAAACACAAATCGCATTGCGATTTTCATTTCGCGTTGCGATTTTGTCGTTGCGATTTCATTTCGCATTGCGATTTTGTCGTTGCGATTTTCATTTCGCATTGCGATAGCCATTTCCGCGTTGCGATAGTCATTTTCGTGTTGCGAAAGTAAACTATTCTTCTTCTGTAAATTGAAACTTGAATGGATTGCATTACTTCAACCAAAAGACAAAACAAAACCAAAAACAATACTAACAAAAACAGTTTAGCAGTATTGGCAGCAACCGAATGAATTACGAGTATGAAAAATCTTAAACTTACCTCGTTGCGTAGAGTATGAACCTCATTCTGCAACGATGCTACCATCTCACGTAGAGCGGCTACCTCACCGCGTAATGTAGACACCTCAACACGCCATGCACCATCGTCTTTGCGTAAAGTACCGACCTCCTCACGCAAGGCATTGACCTCATCACGTAACTCCCCTAACTCATCCCGTTGAGGTGGAGGTGGAGAACAGGGAGATAAACTTCGTGGCATCTTTGTCGGTCGCCTATCTTGCGGTGATGGTGGAGAAGAGGCTCGATGATATGACAGAATAGGTGATGGTTGTCGTTGTGGATGTGTATAGCCGGGTCGATCAGATGATGGCTCTGGGTGAGGTGATAGCTCTGGGCGAGGTGATGGCTCCCGAAGTGGAGGCTGCTCATCAACCGTTCCATCAAAAAAACGCTTACTAGCTTGCCACCAATCAGTGGCAAGCTCAGCTTCCGTGGGTGTCAGCCTCTGTAGAGGAGTGTTGGCCTCCTAACAATATAAAAGCTCAAACAAAGTTAAACGTGTACTAGTAATAACTTGTTTATAAACATATGGTAGTATTTATGTTAACTTACATTATTTATTGTCGTATACCGTAGTAAATCTTCCCATTGCAAGGTCCGTATCCTCTTCCAGGAAATAGCCCTGTGAATATCATTTGAAGTTTTTATTGCATATGTCTTCATGGCGGGAAAGGCCTCAAATATCCAAATCTACAAACAATATAATAACAAACATTAGTAATTGTTAAATAATTACTTATAATTTTGGAAACATCATATAAAATTCTTACCTTAAAGGCCCAAATAAAGCCTGTCAAAGTGTATTTGGAACCATCGCCATGCAAACTTTTCGATCATCCAAGGCAGACGATAACTTATTCCATATAGCTTTCCATAAATACGAGCCCCACGGAAACAGGTTCCACGCATTTAGGTCTTCTACCAATTTGATTAGATCATTTGGAATAGGTTGTCTGGCCTCTCTGCCTAAAAAGCCAGCATGCAAAGAATTAGAAGGCATACTCGGACAACGTCGACGTCATCCATCCGAGTAAAACCATCTTTATTATTCAAAAATCTTGTCAGGTCTTCTACGTGTAGACTCGGCCTCTCCAGCTCAGGAAAAACCCGGGATAGCCATGATGGGCGGGTAATGTGTCTAGTGTACCGACCTACATCATCGTGTCCGAAGCGTAGACCGGTGATTAAGCAAAACTCCTCCCGCCCAAACACGTATACGCCGGTGGAAAATCAAACCATATCTCTTCATCACGACGTTGTATAGTCTCTGGTAGATCGCTAGTCATGGTTTGAAGAAACAGGTGTGTCAACATCGTATCTCCACCGGGATGTTGTACTTTCAGCTATGGCCCGAAGCATGTATCCTCAAACATTTTTCTTTGTGCAGGTGAAAGCTTCGACGCAATTGTTTGGCCAGGCTGACTTTATTTCTCAAGGTCAATTGAGCCGAATAAAAGTTCTACAAAAACAATAAACATACTAAATTAGATATACCAAAAACTACACTGTGAAGATATACCAAAAACAATAATAAACATAAATAGTAGTAGTTTATTCTTCAAACTTAAATATGCAACACTGTGAATTTCGTATTTGTCTTTGTTTTTTGGTTGAAGTAATGCAATTCATTCAAGTTTCAATTTGCAGAAGAAGAATAGTTTCTGAAAATGAAAATCGCAACACGAAAATGAAAATCGCAACGCGAATTCGACTATCGCAACGAGAGAATCGCAACGCGAAACTAAAATCGCGTTGCGATTTGCATTTCGCGTTGCGATCTCGGTTGATTTAATAAGCAATCTAAGTGAAATGGTTAATCTATTATTGAAATTACCAGTAAACTTATCATCAATTTCAATATGAAAAACCTAATAATAATGCAAAAATTTCAAAAAGAAAATAATTAAAAAAACTAACCCTCGTTGGTTGATTTGGTTGATTTTCCATTTCTGATTGTGAGGGTGGCTCTGAGAGATGGAGATAGACGGATTTCGCCGGAGATGGGGATGGATTTCGTCGGAGATGGGTGAGAGAGTGAGAGATGGAGATGGGACTGAGTTGTGATTTTAGGTTTTAGGTTATGAGTTGCGATTACGGGATATACTGTGGACAGTTCAGTGTTCCAATATATTAATATTCGTGTTTGGAATTTAAAAATAAAATACTTGGCCAGGATACTAATGGCGCTTTGAAAATCGCATTGCGATTATGTATTATCGCGTTGCGAAAGTCAGAATCGCGTTGCGAAAGTCAGTATCGTGTTGCGAAAGTAAGTATCTCGTTGCGATTTTTTATTATCGCATTGCGATAGTCAGTATCGCATTGCGATTTTCCCAATTCGCGTTGCGATTTACTTATTCGCATTGCGATTTTCCCAATTCGCGTTGCGATTTACTTATTCGCATTGCAAATTGGGAAAATCGCAACGATACTGTAGACCATCGCAACACGATTTTCAACTATCGCATTGCGAAAATGCAACGCGAATTTGCGATAATGGAGATCGCGTTGCGAATTAGCGATTGCATTGCGATTTTGTTGGTCATTTTGGCAAATCCGGAAAAAGTTGGTTAAAATCGTATATTATATGGGATTTTTGGTCACTGAGGTTATTTTCTCAAAAAAATATCTTTATCATTTAACTAAATAGTTAATTTAGTTAAAAAATTAAAAATTTTATCCTAATGTTTCATTTGGAGACAAAAGTGTCAATTGATTTGATGAAAACGATTAGCCAACAAATTTTCAATGCTATAAAATATGGTTTTTTTCGCCAAAATAAATGTTTTAAGCTAAAATGCTCTAAAAATGAGCATGAATAAAAAATTATTTAATCGGTTTACATTATGTCATCGAGTCAGTTCTTGAAATATTATGTTGGCGAGTCAGTACTTGAAAGCAATGACAATGTCGGTAGTCTTCATTAAGATATGATAAAATTATGTCTCAATCAGCAAGTTGTGTATATTTATTTTGCATGTTGATATGTTTATGTATAAGTATGCGAATGACTTATTTAGGAGTCACATAACATCATTTTGCATAATTTGTATGTTACCTTCATGTGCATAACTTAACTCCTATCACATAATCGGGTTTAGGGTTTAAGGTTTAGAGACTAAGGTTTAGGGTTTAGGGTTCATTACAAATACATTAATTAATCGACTTAGTAATGATTTATGAGGTAAATATAATATAATATATTGATATTAAATGCTCAAACCCTTTATATTTATGATATTTGAACCCGAAACCTCAAAATATAACAAGAATTTAAAAAATTAGTTATTAAAAATATTATCATTAGAAATATATTAAATATTTGTCATTAGATAAATAATTTTTTATTAATTTAAAATAAATATAAGAAAATTTATTCAAAAATAATTTTTAACCATTTTCAATTTTTCTATTGTTTGACTGTTTTTTCTTGTTTTTTTTATTTTAATTTTCTACGTTGTCAAGTACTTGTGCAGTAAAAAGTTAAAAAAAAGAAAAAAAATAAACCAAATACGTGTAATTTAACATGTGCTTAATTAAATGAGCTTTTATTTTTCTTTTAGTAATATACAATATAACAATTGGACTTGGGTTGGTTAATTAAAAAAATTAAAATATAAGGGTAGTTGTATTATAGAATTTTTTTATATATTTTTAAAATTTAATAATTATCAATGTATTTTAAATATATTTTTAATAATGTAATTTTAAAAAATCTAAAATTATAATATAACATTTTTTTGAGTAGCTCACGAGCTTTTCGAGTCGAATATCGAGTAGCTCGTTTCGGCTCATTAAGAACTCGAGTCGAGCTCGAGCTCGAATCGAATCCATTCGATTCGAGTATTTATCGAACCTTGATCAAATCGATCTCGAGTAGCTCACAATCTATCTCGTCTCATTTTAAACCCTAGTTATAGTTGGTAGTTAGTTTGTTATCACTTGAATCCTAGATAATCTATATATAAACCATTGTACTTCAAGTTATTGATTAATGAAATATATTCAAAATACACTTGTTTTTACTTTCTCTACATGGTATCATATGGTCTTTTCTTGGGGCTTTTTTGGGTTTCTTTGTTTGGTTTTCTAAAACCTGTTATTCCTAGGGCTTGTTTGCGTTCATTTCTAATTTTGTCCCGAATTTTCTGTCTACGTTTATTGCTTCGTCTTCTTCGGAGACCTTGGATTTTAATACCCTTTGTACAATCATCCTTCTAACACGTCGGGTGCTTTGCTTGTTTCTCATCAACTTTCAGGCGTCGAGAGCTATTGTTTGTGGAGTCTCTTGATGAAGATCTCTCTACTTGCGAAGAATAAGTTAGGGCTCATAGATGGCAGTTGTCGGCTTGATGATTTTGATGTGTCGCTTCATCTGCAATGGGAGCGATGTAATGTTTTTTTCATTTCATGGATTTTAAACACTGTGAATAGAGAACTTTCTACGGGTATCGTTTTTGCCTCTGATGCAACGCTTGTCTAGGCCGATTTAAAAGAATGCTTCGACAAAGTTGACGGGTCTCGGATTTTCTTCCTTCATCGCGAAATTGCCACTCATGTTCAAGGTGATTTGTCTATCTCAATGTATTTTACTAAGTTGAAGTTGCTATGGGATGAGTATTCTGTTCTGATGCCTCTTCCCTCGTGTGGTTGTGCTCAGTCTCAAGATGTTGTTTGACATGATCTTCATCAGCCACTGCCTACGGTAAATTAAGCCTACTCGATGGTGGTTCAAGAGGAATCTCAACGTTCTTACTCTGCTCCTTTGCCTTCTGAATCCACTGTTTTTTATTCCAATTCTTCAGTGGTGTATGGTGGTTCTGATCGAAGAATGTATAATGGCATTTGCTCACATTGCAAGGTTCGTCGGCACAAGCGGGAACGTTGTTATCGCTTGATTGGTTTTCTTCCGGATTTTCGGTTCACTAAATAGAAGGATTCTCAAGCTGCCATATTTGTTGATACTGAGAACTCTGCTTCGGATGCATCGTCTGTTCCTGTTGCGTCGGGATTTGCTTCTTCTGCCCAGTGTTTACGCAGGCTCAATATGCTCAATTGCTTGAACTCTTGCACAAGCCAACTGCTTCTTCACTGTTGAGTCGGCTGTGAACCTAACAGGTAGAGTTTTTTCCACTAGTTCTCATATTGTTCCTTCTGCTTGGATTCTGGATACTGGCGCGATGGATCAAGTTACATTTGATTTCCAATGTTGATAAGACCTGTTGCATGTGCTACAACCCTGTTGTTCTTCTTCCCAATGGAAAAAAAAGCCCTTGTTACACATATTGGTTCGGTTGTTTTGACCTCCACCCTTATCATTCACAACGTTTTATTTGTTCCTGAATTTACCCACAATTTATTATCCATATCAAAGTTATCTTCTGACCTTCATTATCTTGTTTTATCCTGATTTTTCTTGCTACAGGATCTTTACAACGGGCAGATACAGCTATTGGTAGGAAGCAAGGTGGACTTTATTGCTTTGATTCGTCCAAAGTGTCTCGGTTTTAGCCACAGGTCATTTGTCTAAGACTTTACCTTCAAATTGTTCTTCTGCTTTGCATACTGGTTCTTATGATGTTACCACTACTACTTTGTGGCATGCTCGTTTTGGTCATGCCACTTCTACTAAGATGAATAAATTGTCTGATGTTTTTCAGCCAAGTTTAGTAAAAATCATGTTGAGCATTGTTCCATTTTCCCTTTAGCAAAGCAATCCCGTGTTCCTTTTCCTATTAATACTACACATTCGATTTCCCCTTTTCAACTTGTTCATATTGATTTGTGGGGTCCTTATCGGATCTCCACTCATAGTGGCCATCGTTATTTTCTCACCATTGTAGATGATTTTAGTCGCATAACCTGGGTTCGCTTGTTGAGATTAAAATCTGATTCTATTATCCATCTTAAATCATTTTTCCTTTGTTCAAACTTTTCTCCGCTACTATTCAAATCATTCGAAGTGACAATGGTTTGGAATTTTTTGGGAATGAATGTTCGTTTTTTTTTCCAGTCCCTTGGTGTAATTCATCAGAGTAGTTGTGTTCACACACGGCAACAAAATGGTGTGGCTGAACGAAAGTATAAACATTTACTTGAAGTGGCTCGTGCCTTGCGTTTTCATTCTAAGGTTCTTGAGAAATTCTGGGGTGAGTGCATTGTTACAGCTTGCTACTTAATTAATCGTTTGCCCTCTTCGGTTATTGAGTGGAAAACTCCTTTTGAGTTGCTCTAATAATAAAAAAACTAGTTATGTCTCATCTTCAAACTTTTGGTTACCTTGCCTATGCAACTAAACCCAATCATCGTGATAAATTTTCACCAAAAGCAATATCTTCAGTGTTCTTTGGTTACTCACTCAAAAAGGGTATGTTTTGTTTGATCTTGACACCAAAACTTTTTTTTGTTAATCGAGATGTGGTGTTTCATGAAAAAAAAATTCCTTTTCATTTTGCTCGCGATGATTGTTCTCATTTGTTTCCTTTACAGCCTGTTATTCCTGATTCAGATTTTTAAATTCTATCATCATCTGATTTGTCTTCTTCCCTCTCTGATCAACCTTCATAATCCCTTAGTCCTTCATTCGGTCAGTCTTATGTTCCATCATTACCTCAAAGTTCTTTTCCGATTTCAACAAGTGAACTTGGTCATGGTCAGTTTGTTCTTGTGCCTTCTATAAGGCAATCTGCTCGTGTTTCAAAACCACCTTCTTGGTTACATGATTTTGTTTGCTCCTATCAATCCTCGGCTGCTCAAGGTCCGTATCCCATTTCCCAAACCATTTCATATGAAGATCTTCCTTCACATACAAAATCTTTTCTTGCTTCTGTTTCTCGAACCATCTACTTATTCTGAGGCCATTAATAATCATGTTTGTTACATATCTGATTTCTAGGAGTGGAGAGCTCGCCTGCTAATGGAGCAGTCTTCGGCTATCGAGTGTTCCGTCAATATCATATCATTTAGCAGGAACTAATAAGACTCAACAAGAAATTGCTAAACCTAATGTGCTTGAGAGGTAAATAATCCTACAATTATCTGTCCAAGTTATCGATGGATTTATTACTTAGACCAGGGATTTAAATTGCGGTTGCGGCTGTGTTTTTGGTTGTGTTGCGTTTATCGCTATTGCAGACATAGCGGGAGCTATTGCAATGGTTGCAGGTATCGCAGTCATGTCATAACATTTTCGGATGATACCGCTATATAGCGGGCACTATTGCGGTAGCAGATCGCTATTTAAATCCCTGAGTCTTAGACTTAAGAAAACCCTCTTGAAAGATTTACTGCCAGGGGCTAGGAGTTGCTTTAAAATTGTAGCATGATGTTTTCATGGTATAAGCAACCCCGATTTAAGATACTAGAAACTTGAAAGATTATAACATGTTTTCTTGGTAATGCTATTACATTATTCTAATTTTTTTTAATGAACAGCTACAATTACTTCGAGTTGTATGCTTTCCTTTAGTTTTCTCTTCTCCAAGCAAGTAGGTTCCTTGAGAAAAAAGAGGATATTGCCAAACTGCGGAAATGCTTTGCTGGATTGTGGAGTTAGGTTGACTCAAACATCACCAAAAAGGCAATAGAAGAACCCGAGTTATTCGTATGAAGCCCCAAAGAGGAGGAGGAGGTGCCATATCTTAATACTTTTGATATAGGTACTGTTTATTAGTTGTATTCTTTTCGTTGAGAATGGAGTCTTCGGTTCCACTTCAGGGAACCCTTCTACGATTGCAGAAGGAAGGGTCTGAAGAAGACGCTGCCTACATACTTATGCAGAGGATTTTCCCAGCTGTTTCTCTGACATGTTGATTCGTGATGGAATTTGTCATAAAGATCATGCCATAGAGCTTGGAGTATACAGTGCTTACTTAAGGTACATCTTTGTGGTTTTGTTTCGTCCGTTTATGTTGGCTAGTTTCATTCATATAATGCTATTAATTTCCCTCTTCACTTATCAAATCTCGATGGCGGGTATGTATCTGAAATGAGTACTTTAATTAAAATGAAAAGTCGGGTAACACAGATCGAAACAGTCTTCACATCTTTAAAGCTTTACCCTCGACGTTTATGATCTGGGATGCATGGTAAAGTTCTTGCAGGAATAAGGACAACATCGTCATGAATGACCAATGTGGCTACTTGACGGGGACCAAGGTCAAACGAAGGAGGGGTGGCGGTCGGATTTGCAGTCTTAGTATCAGGGATTCAAAAAACGGCCGTGTAACGGTATAACGGCCGTTATATCGCGGTATCGGCAGCTCCCGTTACTGAAATCACGGTGTGAAACGAAATCACACCCATAACGGCTGATAACTGTCGCAATTTAACGGGTAACGGTCGATCGCGGCTATAACGAACCGTTTTTCCCTTTAATTCCCGTTACAACACCAAACATCACCATGCTCGCATAAGGAAAAAGGGATGAAGAATAAGATTTGTTTTGGGTTGAGGAAATTCCAGATATACCGGCGAAACAAGCGGAGGAGGATAGACGCCGGTTATACAATCTTTATGTATAAGATGGAGGTTCAGAGCACTTCAAGCTCAACAAAAAATTTAAAGCTTTCTTGTAAGTTTTTCAATGACACATTTTGAAAGGAAGAAGAAAGTAAAACGATTGGATAAGTTTTAATTTCCTATTTTATTTTGTTGACCAGTGTAGGATGTAATGGGTTACAGTTGGAGGACTTTATTTGTTTTAGTTTAGTCTTTTTCTAATAAAATCCAACAATTTTTTTTAAGAACAAAATATATAGTCTTAAAAATAATTAAATTATAATAACTAAGGAAATTCGATTTAATTTCATTAAATTTAAAATAGAAAGATCTTAAAAGAAAATTAAACTAAAAAAAATTAAGATCAATATTTGATTATACCTTAATATAATAAGTAAATTACGTGTTTAATACATAAAACTATTAATTTTTGTATAATTGGTTGTTATGAGTTAATATAACATTCTTAAGAATTTATAAATAAATAAAAAATAATTAATGATGATAAAATTGTGTTATGTATTAATAAAAGTCTAAAGTTTACAAAATACTCTAAAAATTATTAAAAGTGATTTTCTATAATTATAATTACTATATTTTATAATAAGTTGTGTGAATTTAAAAAAATTCACGTCCGCGATACCAATAGTAACCATGATAGCATTTGTTACATCCGCGACCGCGATAAACGCAACACGATCGAAAACGCGGTCGCGACCGCAATTTAAATCGCGCTTATATATTTGACTTTATGAAGCTAGGTTTCTCGGTTACCATCATCTTAGCTACATCCAAGAATTTACTGTTATCTACATGACACTCAGTTTGGCAAATTATGGTCTTGATATCTTGAAACAGCTTGAAGAGCTGTTCAGGTGTTTACTTTCACAGAACAGTAAATGTATTATGTTTTCTGTATTTTTCGAAGGAGCAATAAACTTGAGATGAAGCGTATGCTTGTAAATGTCCACAGCATTACAACAAATTTCCTTTCCAAGTATGAAACTATGACTTACATGGAGATGACTGCAAATTTGGTGGTAAAAATTTAGGAGTGACACACGTTACATAACTTGTTTAAATTAAGGCTAAAAATATACAAATAGTCTCCAATTATAGATTGTTGGATTGTTGAGCTTGTTACCTAGTAAAAGTTACAAAATTACTCGATTAGGGTAATATTATGTTAAGTCTTACGAGTATTAAAGTTACAAAACGATCATATGATTATTTATTGTTCTAAAAGTAATATTTTATTGGATAAAGTAATCTTTTTTACAAATATATTTGTTTCTAGTCGGGTAGGGTTGGGTTTGAATTTTATTTAAAAAAGGTGGGTCGAGTGAAATCACCCTAAAGTCGGGTTGAGATTATTTTCAGATGAAGAATGTATAATTTTCAGGCCGATTCAGGTTGGCCGAAAATCTAATTCAACTCAACTCATGATTATCCCTAGTTATACCTTCGTAGGTGTCTCTTGAAGATGCACCTCGAAAATTACACATCTATTCCTTGTTCATCTAGAGTGTTGTACTCTTGGCGATAATCTCATGATTGGACCTCTGACAAACTTACATGATAATTCATTAGAGACAAATTTAACATTGTTATCTTCATAGGCAAGACACCAACCATCTTATAAATAGTGTATTTATACCAAAGAAAGATTGAAGAGGGGAAATACCTTTTTTTCTTTAGACTTTGTGCATACTTTCTGTCTTTTCTTAAACGTTATATTCTCCACTAGAAAAATATGTCTCATATTAGTTGATACTCTATATAAAATAGAAGGGATGAATCGTTAACGACCGACGAATAACTTATTCCTATAAACATTTTCCATATAGTATAAATGTAGAGACGAATAGTTCATACATAAGTTTGTCTAGGAATAGTTCAACATAAGTTTGTCTCTAGGATGGGAAATATAAATTAAAATTAATAAGAACTTTCTCTCATTATATTGTGTATTTTAGGATTTAAGATTTATTGATGATTTATGGTTTAGATATTTTTAGAATTCAAATTATGATTTAGTTTTTATATATTAAATAATAATGGTTTTATAAAATATAGATTTTAGTAAAAAAGTGTACACCTGCTATGTCATTTCTACCGACTTGATTCTATTTTAGAAGTACGGGGACTTGATTAGTCCATTATAAAGAAGAGGGACTTATTTTCTCTTATAATAGTTAAAAGGATTGCTTAGTACTTTCCCCAAAAAGAAATCTAAATTTGAAGTAACCGGGGAACGATGGAGTTCAGTCTAGAGATATAAAAAGTAAAACGCGGGACGTGGCAATCCTGCAAGCCATCAACTCATTTTCATTTTAGTCGTAACAATATAAACTCAGAGGAGCCCAAAACCAAAATCTGTACACTCTTAAACAAAGATGTTGAGAAACTTTCTGAGAAAAACAAACATCTTTTGTGGAAGAGGAGGAGAGTTCTTAAGTAGGAGAAGGGGTTTGAGTTCATCAACCTCAGCTCAGCCTGCAAGGAGATTCGCTGCTGTGTGGGGCAATGGAGATTTCGGGCGTTTGGGTGTTGGGAGTCTCGATTCCCAATGGTGGCCTAAACCCATCAAACTCCTCTTCCTTCAATCACCAAACCCTCAAGTCCATTGCCTGCGGTGGCGCCCATACTCTCTTCTTAACAGGTCCTTTATGAACTGAACTTCAGGTTCTTTGCGTTTTCTCCTGAATTCATGATTGATCGTTTTTGGAGTCGATCTCCGATTAAACCCTTCTATGTCTTGACAGAATCCGGGGGGTTTATGCCACTGGTCTCAATGATTTTGGGCAGCTAGGTTCAGCAGACCTGTAAATTACTCTACAGTAAGATTTTTTCCACCTTTTATTCTATTATTTTTGTTTGCTCGTTCATGGTAATAAATTGCTTGACAAAGATTGGCGAAAGATAGGGCAATTATACTTTTGTAATTTGTTTTATCTATTGCAAATTGAACTTATAATTCTGGTCATAAATAATATAGGATGCGAGATTGAGCTCCTTAAATACCATGTTCCAAGAATGAATGAATAAAACTGAATTGGCTGTCTATAGTTTTTGTTGAATAGGGATCATGTAGAAAAGCATTAAAGGATGTAGAAAGGAAGTTAGATATTGGGAATTACAGTGTTTCAATAATGTCAATCAATACATATAAAACAATTATATACTTTCTTTAAGGTTATTTTTTTAAAAGAATTTATTTTGTGTCTTGTTTTTGGATAAGCGGCTTAAGCTTGTTTCATCCAAGAAGCAACATAACTGCTGATGTTACTGTTGTTACATTAGCTGACAGTTGAGAAAATTCGGTCTTTACATAGCGCCAAATTAATAGAATCTAACAGTGATCATGCAAATGTGAGGAGACTGTTTCTCTTATTTGCTTGATATCTTGTCTTGTTGGGCTTGGCATCCAAGTGCAGCTTGTTATTTCTTTCCCTCCAAAAGAAGTAGATCAATGCTTTCCAAGCAATAAGGATTGTGATTGCGGTTGAGGCTTTGCCTTTAAGTTTCTTGTGGCCCATTGTGATAAATGCATTCTAGTCTCTTCTTTGGATCTTGTGCCATTCGCTTAGATGGTACCTATCAGTAAGAGTACTGCAGCAGCGAGAAACAGATGATCCTTTGATTCCTTCTCTAGCTTGCACAAAGGCATTCTTCCTCCCATTAGAGATTGATCTATCCTTAGTTGGTGTGTAGAACTATCATCAAGGCTGACATAGAGTGCTTAGGGATGCGGAATTTAAACTGAAGTGACCTATGCCATGTCATCCTTTCATTCTTATCAGTTACATATTTCAAATGGAAAACATGTTTTTACACTAGCAAATGGCTTACCTTCAACATAGGCTACTTTTTTTGTTAAGTCATGAGGTCTAGTCTTGATCAGTTCCATTTTACACTTCTGTGTTCTTATCATCCTGGTTTGGTGGCTGTCTTGGATGGCTTACTAGAGCAGTCTCACTTTCAAAATGCCTTAAAATGCTATACTTCATGCAATTTTTGGGAAATCAAGGTAACTGCAGGATATAGAGGGAAAGTATCATCTTGAATTGAAGTTGATGAACTTGGCATGTCCAAAGTTGGCTTGATCTTAAAACCTATTTTGGCATAAGTAAGCCTCTGCCTATTGGGAGTGATTTTATAGAACACCTAATGAACTTGCAGTGTAGCTGTTCCCTCCATGGTATTCAATTCAAGAGGTATATTCCACAAATGGGCTAAGTACTCGTTAAATTTTATTGATTTCATTCAAGGTATAGACTTCTTGAGAATTTTAAGGTTATTCTGAATATGCCATGACCATGATCAATGACCCAACCCCTAGTTTTGGCATGGGTGAATTGGATGAAAGGAGGTTTTTCTTGCAGGCTTGACAACAATCTCAACTTTTTCCCGTAGCATATAATGATCCTTGAAACAAGCCAAAGGTTAGTGGATGTTCAATGATTTGTGAAAACCTATGAATTCTTTCCTCCATTGGAGGATGCCTTCTTCAAATACTTCATGATCTGCTTCATTGTGGCTCTTCCATCTAGTTCCATAGAGGAAAAATTTGCGTTGCTTCCTTTGTTTGTAATGAAGAGTTTTCCTCCAGTCTGCTGTTTCCACATTTAGAAAAGTTACTTATAATTAACTATTTTCAACCAACCTTTCCTTTGCTTGAATATTGACTTCTTAACAGATCCAGTTTTAGGAGAAAAACCTCCATTAACAACATGCTTGAAGCTCCTTTGCTTTGTATCCAAATCCTTTGAGAATGCAAACTGTCTCCATAACCTGAATTGAGCTTGGGGAAGTTTTTAAAGAGTTCATTTCCAATTGGGTAGATGGGAGTATGAGTTGATCGAAAAGATGATGAAATAACGTAAAAGGATCAAATGAAGACGAGATCCATGTCAAGAATTGAAATTACAAAAGAAAATGGTGGAAAGTGGTGTATCTAGCAGGAAAATCTTCAACTCATGAAAGTTGTGCTAATGTGAGCTGCGAGCATTTTCTTAACGAACACTAGAGCATTCCTTCTAAAATTTTAGGAAGTAACCTATTTATATTTTTTAGGAGCCAATTGAAGTTTTGGGACTTACAAAAGAAATTGTGCAAATTGCTGCTGGTTATCATCATTCATGCGCTATTACAGGTATTATGTTGTGCAGGCTATTAATTAGAGTTGCTCATGTGCACACATATAAATGGATAATATGTATGCATGCTATTCCTCCTACTATTTGGAAGATATGGCTTTGTGTCTCATCACTTTTTTAGGAAGCATCTCATGGCCTTATATATATATAACTATACCCATTTTTTTAAAAAACCGAAACAACTGTTGTTTGAAATTAATTCTTGAAATATGCTCGGTTTCAGCATGAAGGACAGTTGCCTTCTTCAATGGAAATGCCCTTCTTGTTATAAAGTAACATTTTCAAACCATTGGTATTAAAAATAAAGGCTATATGTTTTTTATTCAAATGACGTTTTTCATTTTTAGCATTTATTTAATAATATGATGAGATGCATTCACATTTTGCTCACAGGTATAGACAAGTAAATAATCCTACTGTGGAATCTTTCAGCATACTTCCTTTTCATTTCTCTTTATGTTATGGCCTTTTTTTTGTTTTAAGTTTATGTGTACTATGGACTTAAGATTCAGTTTGTTATGTCCTTGCTTCTGATTCCATCTTCTGTATTCTTTCTGACAATGTCTTGACCTGTAGTGGATGGGGAACTCTACGTGTGGGGGAAGAACTCAAGTGGGCAACTTGGCCTTGGAAAAAGTAATAGCTAAATGTGATCCTTTTATTTGAATGCTTATAATAATTAAATTAAATTATTTAGTTTGCCCACTTGTCATTGTTTTTTTTTTTGCTTATTATTAACGTTGTTGTATGATCAACATATTCTCACTGTTGGGATGGACGACATACTGTACTTACAGAGACAGCAAAAGTGATTCATAGGCCAACCAAAGTGGAATGCTTGAGTGGGTACAATTAAGATGGCAGCTTTGGGTTCAGAGCACACAGTTGCTGTTACTGGTATGAAACTGGAAATGCTTCGCAAATATTGATTCTATTTTCTAGCATTACCATTTTGGAGATGCTTTTGATGTGTATGCTTGGGTTAATGTCTGTGTTTCCATTTTTATGTTCTTGGCCAGATGGAGGTGAGGCTTTAAGTTGGGGTGCAGTAGCATCTGGAAGACTTGGTCACGGCCTCGAGTCAAGTATTTTTGGTTTTTTAACAAGCAACAGGTTACATTTTATGTTTTCTTGATTATTGACTGATATAAAAAGCCTTCAATTTATCTTTTCTTTTTCTTCATCTGCTTAATTATATGACTAACTCTTCAACTTATCCTCTTCTTCTTTATCCTTTTGGGTAGTTGTGCCTGATTCCAGATTCATATTCCATAAGAGATAATTGATACCTTTTGAACTATATACAAGCTCGTTCTCTGTTCTCCAAAATCTAGTGTGAATATAGTATGTCATTGGGAAGTTTTTTTTTCAGGAGGGGGAGGGGTGGAGTAGGAAAGTTGGAGCGAAATACTTGTAATATTTCTTCCTAGTCTGGATAATCCTGGGTGGTCCAGGTGCATTCTTGGTTGTATCTCGAACATCCACCATTTATCATGCATGTGGCTTGATGAGTCATTGTACACCCGTCAGGTATTATGGAGAATTGTAAGGACAGTATCTGATTCAGTAGGCATCTCAAAGACAAAGTAAGACTGGAGAATGGTTGTTGCCAAGGCCTACTCAAACAGTTTATATCAGAAATCACTTATTCAATTAGAGAAAGAATATGTTTTTCTAGGTCTGTACAAACATTTCAAAATACGAGATTATTTGATGAAATATAAGAATAAAAATGCATTGGCATTTGCAACGTTTTAAGGTGTTCCCACAGTGGGCAATATCTGGAAATTTAACGTATATGAGAATTAAATTTTCCAAGGAATGCCAGGTTCTATTAGTGTTTAACCTGGACAAATCAACATTCTTTTCTACTGCCTAGAGATAGTGTAGCGTTTGCTTCATTTTCTTTGTTTCCTTCTTTCATTTTACTATTCTTATAAAAATAAAAATCAGAGTACTTTTCTGCTTATTTACTTATTTAAGGTTCTATTTTCATTTCATCTTGAGCTTTCTATTTTTCATAGTAATGTTTTTTAAGTTTACATAGATATTTATAATTTTTGCAGTGATATACTCCAAGGCTTATAAAGAAACTAGGGGCATCAAGGTAATCTCTTGTTAAACTTTGGATTTTTCATGATCTCACTAAATTAAAGCAGTGTAAATCTTCTTGCTGATAATGGCCATTGGCTTCATTATTTATCCCCGCATTAGGTTAAAAGAGTTGCTGCTGGGTTGTTGCATTCAGCATGCATTGATGGTAAGTGAAAATGATCCTCTTATGGTTAATCAATTTGTGTGACCTTTGTATGTATTGCAGAAACTGGGTCTTTGTTTATGTTTGGGGAGAAAGTGGAAGCTGATCTTAAGTTCTAAAAATTGTCAGCTTTAAACACCACTTAACATTTCTAATCATATGGCATCTTTTGAGTGATGATCTTAATGAAAATTTTTAGGGTTTTGGAGAGGCCAAGAATGCAACAATGCCATCCATGATCAACACGTTGCCATATTCGGAAGAAGTTGCATGTGGTGGCTACACGTGTGTTGTAACAAGTAATTCTCTAGGCTTCATTTTTAAATGTTTTTGCAGAATTCATACAACTCACAAGATGGAGCCATCATTGCATATTATTGTTGTTTGAAAATATTAAATTGATGTACCTTTTAAAATTTTCTTGCTTCAATATTTTATGAATATTGCAATCTAAATGACTATGTCGATTAGAATGAGTAAAGACCTGAAGAAAAAATCAATGTATAAAACAATTAGGAATTGCAAGAAAATGTGGAATATTTATGGTCTTATGTCTGAATCGTGTTCAGTGCATGACAATTAAGTTCAAGTTGATGTCAATGACAATGTCCTGGATCATCTAGGGAAAAAAATTAAACATGCAAGTTAAAAAGGATGATCAAGAGAAAGAAGAATTGGGTTTTAAGGATAAAAATGTAGCAAATGTAAAGATGGTTTCCCTTGGGTAGCTTAAAGGGGATTAACTTTTCTTATCACAAGTTCACAATAAACTGAATTAGGATACTTTGGATGGTTGTAATCCCCTTTTACTTGTTAGATGGCCTGATTATTGATTTATTATTCATAACATCTTGATGATGTGGAAGATGATTATTGCTTATTATCAATCTTGTGGTTTCAAGGATGTATCAAGGTTCACAACACTTCAATCAGCAAATTAATAGCTTCAAACTTGTAATTACCTCTACTATACTTTTTTTTTTATAGGAATAGGAGGCCTCATTAAAAACCTCCCTCTTAGTTGGCTCTGTGAAAGAGACAACTAGCGGAAGGAGGAAAAGAGTACCTCATTTTATTAATAACCCATAATTACATAAGATACAAGTTACATAATAACTTCCTAGATAAAATACATACACTACAACAACAGAACACAACACCTCAACCAATCCCCTCTTTGCTAACTTGTCTGCTTCCCAATTACAACTCCTTGGAATCCAATTAATATAAAACCCCTAGCAGATACATAGGCCCCAATTTCCTCAACCAAAGAGCTATAGAACGTTGGGGCAGAAATAGGTATCAAGATCCAATCCACTGCTTTCCTGCAACTCTCGAGGACAAGTCTTCCCTTCGTTTCCCACTCCGATGAAAGAAATACATCAATTCCTGCTTAATAGCTTTTAACTCAGCTAATAGGAGGGCCTGGTCCCACAGCCATAGAGAAAGAGGCTAAAATAGAGCAATTGGAATCTTTCAACTCCTCCAATTCCTCCTGCAGCCCATCCCTCTCACCGCCCATCAACATTGAATTTAAAGAAATCATGAGGGGGCGGAGACCAACAAATAACCTTTCTTCTTAGATATCTTAGTATGGATTCTGTCCGCAAGCGATGGATCCCCTATTAATAAGTCAGCCTGAATGTCAACAAGAGGAAATTTAGCTAAGAACATTTAGCAGCCTAAATCTGGTTATAAAGAACAGATGAGCTATCAAAATTCCAGTTTTCAATACCACGAATTCCTCGCTTTCCGTAGGACCATAAAACTACTTTAGGAATAAACTTCCAGATGGTAGAGTACTCCAAATATAGGACCAAGAACGAAGTATTGAAACGGATCTTGGGGCAAAACTGTAGAAATATCCCAAAAATTAATGATCTATTCCACAGCTCCATTGCAACCGAACAAGATACAAAAAGATGTTGAATTGACTCCTCAAAGTTATGACATAATGGACACTGGCATTTTCCAGATTAACTCTCTCTTCTTAAGTTCCACTCTAACAGCCACTTTCCTATGAGAAATGCCATAGGAAAGTTTCCACTTAGTAGATACCAAACCAGACCAAACCCACTTCTTCCACTGAAAAGTATCTCCATTTCTGCTTGAAAGAGCAATTCTGCATGACTTAACCGAGAACAAACCATCACCATTCCCCGACCACCCAAGGAAATCATCTACTGATTCGTCAGGCGAATGTTATCAATCAAAGCATTAATGACCACTGATCCAATTCCCAGTATAAGTTTCTCCTTAACTGAATATTCCAAATCCAACATATTTTCAAAGCACCCAAAATGCCACTTTTCCTTTTTATTGTTCGATAGAGCGAATATCTAGGGAACTGACTCTTTAAGGAAGAGCCATGACAATCATCATTCCAAAATTCAATTGATCTACCTTCCCCCGTGAATCTTCGAATTGGACCTCAAGCACTCCCCTATCCGATCTCATTCTCATAATTATTCAAAATGCCTCTCCAAATCCAAGAGTTACAGGAGAAACGGCATTGCATATTGGCAAGGATAAATTACTGACATAAGCTTACAACACAGTAATTTTTTCCACTGAGCCTCCTCCTCGTTTGCATACTTCCAAACCCATTTCCCTAGCAATACTCTATTCACCAATCTCATGTCCAAGATTCCCAAGCACCTCGTCATAAGGTTGACACACCTTATTCCAATTTATCCAATGGATCGTTTCTTGGCTTGTCCTTCACCCCAAAGAAAACTAGCCATTATAGAGTTTAGTTTCTGATTAACCTTCACGGTAATTTAAAGATAGAAAGGTAGAAAATAGGTAAAGAAGACAGCACCGATTTCACCAACACCACCTCCCAGCCATCGATAAAGAGGAAACTTTCCAAATGCTAGCCTGCTGTACACTTTTTGCAGAATTGGCTCCCACAATACTTTTGAATTTCTAATGCACCTATGGTAAACCAAGATAAGTCATAGGAAAATAACCCATCCCACAACCTGCTTCAGATGCCCAATCTTTGACATGTCCTCTTCCAAATTAACTCCAAACAGTTTACTCTTAGACAAATTGAGGTGAAGCCCTGAAATTAGACTAAACACCCTCAAAACTCTCCTTAAATGAGAATTTGAGTGAAGAATCTCTGCAGAATAAAATAAGATCGTCTACAAACTGTAATGAGTCAAATTAAATGTATTATCCTCCTTACCGATACTAAACCTTCAAAAAGACCTAGATTCGCAGCCTTACACAACATTAAATTCAAGAGTTCCCCAACTATGTTAAACAACAAAGGGGACAAACTACAACCTTGCCTCAACCCCTTGCCCATCTGAAATTCTGCTGTTGGAGAACCATTAACGAGAACTGAAATTGAAGCAGAGAAATACAGTACCAAATCCAAGAAATCCATTTCTCCCCAAACCCCATGTCTCAATAATCTCAAAATAATTGGCCATTCGACTGAGTCATAGGCTCTACGAAATCAATCTTGAAGACGACTCATTTCCTTCCTTTTTTCCTCCAAAAGTCTATGGATTCATTGGCCTAAAAGCACAATCAAGCAGCTGCCTTCCAGGAATAAATGCAAACTGAGGGTGCTAATAAGATCTTTAATAACTGAAACCAGCCTTTCGATAAGATTCTGGAAATAATTTTGTATAAGGTACCAACTAGGCTAATTGGTCGATAATCTTCAATACCTTCTGGATTAAGTCTCTTAGGAATCAATGTAATAAAAGCATGATTGACCCATGCTCCCAACTCCTCCTTTATGAAAATCATTCACAAACTTCATAAGATGATCCTTCAAGAAAGGCTGCTTCCCCCACACTTCTTGTTCTGAAAATATGACCTCCAGACTATTCTCTGCTCTGTTAATTCATGAAATTGAATTGATTTCTTCCACCTCTAATGTATCTTTAGAATTGTAATTCTTCTTAAAAATCATAACAAAGGCCTTCAACTTATTCGGGTGAACACTCTTCATCAGCAACTTTCAATGACGAAATAGAATTTATTCTGTTTCTATTCAATGCTGTTAAGTGAAAAAACTCGTGTTCTTATCCCATCCTTGCTCCATTTCAATCTTGATCTCTGTAGCCAAATACTCTCTTCTCTCTGTGTAGCTTCCACAATTCGTGTCTAGCATTCTCAGCATGTCCCTTTCTTGCATTGAATTCCACCGTTTGTAGCTTCAGTTCCCAACCATTAATCTTACCTTCTAATTCTGAAATCCCTTCAGATATCCCCTTAATTCCTATTAGGCCACTTCTTGATCTGCTGTTTTGTTCCTCGAAGTAAAAAACAGCCCCATTCTACCATTACCCATCATATGGTTAGACAAAGACTTTCAACCAATCCAAAACCCGTCTTCCTCTACATGTAATTATAAAATCTAAAAGGCTTCGGTCCCCATTGTTGCTTCTTCTGCTAACACTAGGATTATGATCCGAGAGGGACTTGGGTAGCATTTTCTGTATCACTTTTGGAATTTGTTAAGGAAAGAGCTGCTAATTATAAATCTGTCAAGCCTACCCAAGTGGGATAATCTCTATTTTGCACCAAGTAAATCTTCCACCAACTAACTGAGATCCATAAGATTAGTGTGTTGTACAAGGATCTAAACAATCCATGCAATGCCAATTTTGAGATACTCCACATTTCTCCTCGGTATCAAATAGCATTAAAATCTCCCCTATACAAACTGGCTGATTAGACCTTGAACAAAGCACAACAATTCCCTGAAAAACTCCTCTTTATCCGCCTCTACTGATGGACCATATACATTTATGATAACACACTCAAAGTAAGCAACTTGAACTTCCCTAAACGCCATGAATCTATTCTGGATATGTTCTGCTGTGACCTCAAAAATGTTTTCATCCCACATAAATACTGTCCACCAGCCGAGCCCTTGGCAGGATTGAAGCTACCACCTTTCAAAATATTACCCCCTAACTTCCTCCATAGACCTGAATGGCAAACATTCAGCTTTGTCTCCTGTAGTAAAAGAATAACCGGCTTCTCTATTAAAGTCTGGCCTGCTTTTTCTCTTCCTAACCCTAACGTTCCATGTTATTATTTTGAACTTTGACATTAGAAATAACTGTCATACAAACCAACACAAAAAAAACATTCATACTCCCCAGAAGACCCCTTCATCTCCATCTTAAATATCTCTTCCTCTAATAGATGGACCCCCTTTAAAGTAATTCCCAACAAATCACAGATCTCTCTAGTTGCAGCAGCCTCGTTCTAGCTTTAACTGAAAGTTGAGAAGACTGAGATGATCCCTATCTTGATCCACCGAATCCCTGACCTCCTCCTAAAACCCTTCTATAGACTCTGTTATAAAACTGATAGCACTTCACTGTCTGAGCACACACTCCCTGCGATGTGGAGCTATTCTCAATGTCCTCTGATTCATCTTCTTTTGACAGGGAGTATCCTCTGATTTTTAAGACTTTAGATCGAGAACTACTTCTCATGATTGATAACTGAACTGGGTGATCCTCCTTTGCTAAAAATTGACCCACCCTCATCAGTTTTGAAGAACTTCCCACGTGGTTTCATTTTTCCTGGTCCTATACTTGGAATTGATACACTTCCCTCATTTGATGCATTGCTTATCCTCCATACATTCTTCATCTTCCTTGGTCCATCCACTTGATCCTGACCTTATATCCCTTTCTGCATTTTATGGGTCTGAAAGCTGCATACATGATCTCCATCCAGACTCCTCTGGCCAGCAGACTAAACTATCTCCACGTTAACACCCTGTTCACTTGGAACCACCATCTCCCCCTGCATATTCTCCTTAATCACCCCAGCCTCACCCTCATCAGCAGCATTCAAGGAATTTTCATAACAGGGGTTGGGCTGTAGAATAAACTTTTTCCCAACCCATTTAATATTGTAAGCAGACCCATTAGGAATCAGTTTTTTAATTGGAGAACCAACTACCTCATTTTCCTCTGACTGACCAAAGTCAACCTGATCGTTTGAACCCCTCAATCCCAGGCCCGCATGACTTCCCATCTGGTTAGTCCTATTTTCCAAGAAATCTGACAGCCCACAATTTGAATTTTCTACTGTTGACTTTCCCGATGGGACTTGTCCCCCACAAACTCCATTCACACCACAGTTCTGCCCATTATTCAGCCAAGATATGACTTTGAATGTACCATCGTCTGAGAACTCATCCCCATCTGCTTCCAAAGAAGGACATCTCCTAACCCCCTCCCTAGACAAGACATAACCACTGTTACATTTTTTTGAAATTTTCTCCACCATCTTCCTCCCCGCTTCTTCTGGTTTTTTTAGAACAGAACCCATGGAAATCTTAACTTTGAAGGATCTGCCATAAGAACCAATCGTAACCATCTCAGGTACATCATAAGGACTTTCCACCCTTAGCAAAACTTTCGCCACCGACAGGTCCGATCTGGTCACTGATTCCTCCTTAAAACCAATAAAATCACCCCACTTCCCAGAAAGTTTCTTCACGAATGACTCATTCCAACATAACAAAGGCAATACATACAACTCTATTTGACAAGGAGCCATCGGAACTCCATCCTTGTTCAATACTGGTGCCAACCAGTCTAAGCACAAGAGCACTCTTTCTTCTTATTCATCCATACGTGAGAGAATTCCTCAACTGAATTGAATGCAATGATGCACGCATTCCATACGTACCCCCATCTCGCAATCTGAACTTCCACCCCCTCCATCTCCAAAGCTTCCTTTAACGAAACGAGATCAAAAGAAGGTTTCATTATCCCTGTTAATGATATCTTCACCCATTCTGAGTTGTCTGATGGAATATGCATCTCCCAAATATTCCTCATAGCAGGAGCAATCTTCTTAACACCCTCCAAGTTACTTTCAGAAATTACTACATCCTTATATGATCTGCCGTCTCTAATACCTCTACCCGACTCAAATTTCCTTCCAGTATTTGAAATATCCCTTCCCCCTGACTTGATCTCCACCATTCTCTTCCCCTTATCCTCTTCCCTCCTCTTATCCTTCTGATACATAGCAACCCCAACAGAAATTCTCCTCCCATCAAACCACTTCCCATTCACAAACTGGATTGCTTTCTTCCTACTTTCCTCCTCAGCAAATTGGACAAAAGCAAACGTCGAGGACTTATAATTAAATTTATCTAAAAATCTTGGAATGAAAATTCTTAGAATCTGACCACAAGGACTAAAAAAATCCCTTAACACACGTCTAGAGACCCTTTTGCTAAGATTATCAATGAACACAGTCCATTCCTCCACAGAAGAAATGGATTTTTTTGAATTTTCTCTAATTCTCTCTCTTCCTATCGCGCTCATTCTCTCTCTTGTATCACTTTAAATATGACTGCCCTTGGTACCCAAGTTAAGTGGAAAGATTAAATTAATGGTTTCGTAGTGCATGGATATATTTTATGGGAGACAAATGGCGAAGGCCTCCTCTACTATACTTCTTCATTTGAGGTTGGTTTTCTCCATCAAGGGTAGAGTGATCTGCAAAGGATATGTCACTAATTAGGATCTAAATTTTTTAGTTTTTAGTTTTTTTTTTTGAATATTTTAAGGTCTCAAATACTGTTTAGTTGAGATGGCTTTCAGAATAATATCGTAAATCAGATCGTATCCTCCCATATTTTTTTGTTTCTTTCTTTCTCTTTCATGTTGGTTCTTCCCTGTATCTCTTATCTTTCTACTCTTCTTCTATACTTTTTTCCTCTATCCCTTCATTTCTCACCCTAGTGCTGTACTGAAGGTAAAACCAACAAACTACAATCATGGATCTTGATAGATTGGCTATGGATTTGAGAACAAGTATCCCTAGATATTTTTGTTGTTTTTATTAAGGAAGCATTGGCAGAACTAGGAGTGAGTGTTGAAATAATTAAATTGTTGATGGCAAAACTGGTTCTGGCTCTCCTTGTGATGATGAAAATTATGCGAGACCTTTCTATTGTTATCAACTTGTTCAAGTTTCAAGTACATAAAAAATTCAATTTGACATCAATGTCTTACCCTTATTTTACCACGAATAATTTATAGATGCCCTGCATAAGCATCCTGAAAGTTGATACATCTAATATTTACTTTTTAGATAAAAGAAACTAGCCAAAATCTTAATGCTATTTCTGTTTTGCTCCTCATTGTCCGATCCTCCATTGTTTAGTGAGCTAAAGGTTCTTTTATGCTTGCATCTGAAGCTAATCCTATTTTGTTTCTTTTCATCAATTTTCTCATAGGAGGTGGTGAACTTTATACTTGGGGTTCAAATGAGAATGGTTGCCTTGGTACCGGGTATTCAGTCAGGACTTCATTTTGAAATTCCTAGCCTGAGAAATTGGCTTGTTACTGTTTTCTTTATTTACATTATGAATCATAGAATTCTGGTATCTTTAAAATTGGTCATCTTTGGTTTTGGCAGTTCTATTGATGTTTTCCATGTACCGGAAAGAGTTCAAGATCCTTTGTGAAATCTCCTGTTTGCAAGGTTTGTGCTTCTGTTTGGTCATCATTACTATATCAATGAGGTTTGGTAAATCATAATAGAACCAGGAGTAATGTGTGCATTGGTTGATGCTGTTGCTCTTCACTTTCAATGGGACAACAGCAGTTTTTTTTTTTTTTTAAAAAAAAGAATCAAAAGCAATTAATCTCCAAGATGCCTGAGCTGCTTGGATCCTATGTTAAATTCTTGCATATACTCCAGCTTTTTACCTTTTATTGAAAGTGTGCATCTACAGGTTTCTTGTGGTTGGAAGCATACAGCAGCGATATCAGGTAAGAACTAATCATGGGATCCAATACCGCATCAAAGATACTCGCTTCCTGTCACGTGAAAGAGTTATTAATTAGAAACTGTAACTCCCATTTTTCAATTTTTATTTGTTCTCGTATATTGGGTATCAAATAGACATTTGAAGATGAAATATTATTTTTTTGAAAGGTAAACGACTTTATTCATTTCAAAGAAGAAACTGGCCTTGTTAGGGGCCTCCTTAAAAAACCTCCCTAATCCTGGAGGAAAAAATGTGCACCCTAACAAAGACCACACAAACAACACTTGGCCTCCGAGTAGAAGATCCCACACTTAGAGCTATTAACCAAACTACTTCGGGACAGATACAAACAGTAGACCAGACACCAAGGGCAGCAGTATATGCCTGTCTCCTACTGTACCAACCAAAGCTAAAACTCATACTAGGGCTGCTGGACAGTTCCTCCCAAAACTGCCTGTCTTGCTAGAAAGTCGGCCATTGCATTGCACCTTCTAGGAGCGAAACTGAGAGCAACATAATGAGAAGTCTTAGGTCTTGAATGGAAAACTAAGTTGAAGGAAAAGAAAGCTTCTAAACTATGATGGGAAGACTTGATATAAATATAATACTATAGGACTCAACATCTGCAGTGTCCTGTCACCTGCTAAGAATTTACAATATTTTGTTGATACTAAAGTCTTAAGAAAGGAAAAAAAACAATAAAAGCTGCACTTTTGGCTCAAATAATAATAATTTTAAGACCCGAAGCAACTAATAATTGATACATGAGCTAAATGTACTGATTATTCTGTACAGTTTGAATGATTGAGTGCTTAAATATTCTGTGAAATGGTTTGTGTGAGAAATGTGTATTTGCTGCCATTCATGTCCAGATGGCAAGGTTTTCACATGGGGTTGGGGAGTTCTCATGGAACATTTTCTGAAGATGGGCATTCTTCTGGCGGACAACTGGTTTGCTTTTATTTTTCTTGTATTATTAGCATTTTATTGGTTCTCATTTTGCATTTTTCTAAGAAATAATAGTTAAACCATTTGACATTGCAATTCTTGTATTGTGGTTCTGCATGAAGCGTTAGGGTAATGAAAACCTCATTGGCCCCTTTTATGGCATCAGTTTCGTAACACAATATACCAAAAGAATAAAAGGGGGGGGGGTGTTCTTGATTTTCTTTGCACTTTTTTTCTTGCATCCCGTGTTGGAACAACTAGACCTGGCGTGGGTATGGATTTTGCTTTAAATATGATGCTGCTAAGAAAACGAAGCTACAAATTAGACCAAACCAATTACTAGATATCACTATAACTTAGCGTAAGCTTCAAAAAGAAAACAACTGGTACAAGTGTGGAAAAAGAAAATAAAGGACCTATTGGAGCATAGTTCCTTTGTTGTTTATTATTATGTTCCCATGCATTCCATGTTTGGAGATATTTCTTTACATTATCACTAAGGGGGCAAAGGCGTGAAAATTACATGGAAATAACCCAAGAGTAGTCAACCCCTACAAGATCAGCTGAAAAGACAGAATTTAGCATATTAGAAGGATGCACGATATTTATAACGCCTAGTCGTGGACCAGGCTCCGTTTTGCTAGGCAGTCTACATTATTGTTTCTGTTTTTTGCTGGTAGCATTTTCTCAGGAAATGAATGAAATTTAGCAACTAGCAAGAAAAATATAGAATACTGATCTTCATCTTGTCATTTTTGTATGGTTTGATTGTCAGGATTGTATGTACATGGATGCTATCATTTGCTGTTTGATCTTTGTACAGGGTCATGGAAGTGATGTAGATTACATAAAACCTACGATGGTCCATGTTGGTGAAAATGTTAAAGCGTTGGAGGTATCGTGCGGATTCAATCATACGGGTGCCATATTCGAATACCTATAAGCTCTGGCTTCAAATTTAACAGGTGATGTACGATTTTCAGTATTCTGGGTGCACATGCAGGCAGGTCTGCAGATTCTTGATATCTTTTGTGATTCATTTATAATGTCTTAAACTTACTAATGGCTTGTAGAGTGAGTCAGAGCAGTGGGTGGAAGTCAGTTCCAATCTCTTGCGTATGTAAAATTATTATGTGTATTCAACAAAGGCATAGAAAGCATGGAATTCCATGCCACGTTTCTTCTTGAAATGAATAAATCGTGAGTTGCTTTCGAGTTTATCTAGCTCATTAAATTATATCAAAGAAAAAATTGTAGCAGTTTCTCATCTTGTGTGATGCACGAATCAGTATGTATGTATATATATATAATAACTGAAAACATAATAATTGATAGATAAATATATATTTTTTAACAAATAAATAAATATATTTAAAAACTATAAGTGATATCAGTCGTGTGCAACTGTGCATGTGCCTTATATAAAATAAAGGATTATTATTTGATACAGTCAAAAATAACTTAACTGAACTTGACGTTATTTGAGTATTATTTTTTTGGTAAATTACATGTTTAGTATTATAATTATTTTTTTAATTTGTTTTAGTGGCTAAATTTTTTAGATAATGGGTTTGAATTTTTTATTGACTCAAATAATGTTTTTGTCAAATTATTTTCTCAAATAGTATAAATGCTACTGTAATGGGGTGACGCGGGTCCATGCATGCTAACACGCATGGATCATCATTTTGGTGCAATTTGCATCTTAATCTCAAAGCTTTTAATGAATTTCACCGTGCAATATTACATGCAACCACGAATCGAACATCGGACAATAGCATACTAAATAGGTACAATTTTATCCCAATATAATTCATATCATGACACTACAAGTTGGTCGAATCATACCTTGCTAGTTAGGTACAACTCTATTCCTGTATAATCCATATCCTCATATTACAAGATGTTGAAAAAAATTATTTTTCCAATTATGTATATAGTAGGAATGAATCCAGGAATGAACATAAAGAAAAAAGCTAACAATTGGTGAAAGGTAAAAGATTTAAGTGTTCATTTGGTGTGTTTTTTTTTCTAGTATGCTCATTTGGTGTATTTTTTTTGTTATTTTGATTTGAGTAAGTGTGAAATTATTTGTTATTTTATATGAAATTATTTATTTAATATGTTAAAAAAATTTATAGACCACAATAGAGATAGAAGAAACTCTTTTCAAGTCAAGTTGTTGAAAGAAACGGTGAAGTAAGTGTGAATAGATTTTATTTGAAGTATTTTGTGATTTATTTCTATGATAAAATTATTTTTTGAATGAGTGTGATGGATTGCCATATTTTTTTTGAATGAAAATTTAGCTATTCATTTTTTTAACGGGTGTGATGAATTAAACAAAATTAAACCATCATTATTTGAATACGTAAACATAACAATCATTTTATTTAATATTAATTTTTATAAGAAAACAATGAACATTCTATAGTTCTTTTCAGTGTCGTGGTGTTGTGGAATGATAATGACGAGACATGCATCGAGTGCGTTGTCGACGTTGTGGTTGCTCATAGGTGTGGTAGCCATAATCCTCATTCACTGAGGACATATGATCCGGTGTTATAAACATATACCTACCACTCTGCTCCCCCATCTCTGGTGGAAACTTAGATAGACAAATAGTAGTATTTGACATCATAGTTGTCATGTGCTGAAAATCGTGCGTTGATTCAAACATGGGAGAGTTGTAACATCCCAAAAACCGAGTTAGTGACTAAAATAAAAGTTTTTGAATTTGGTGATCAATTTTGAAAAAATTAAAAAGTTTAGGGACTTAATTAGAAAATCTTGGTGTTGGATTTAGTATCAAAATTTGGAAACTTAAAGGGCATAATAGTCATTTAGCAAGAAATGAATTTAAAATTCATTTGTGGTGTATTATATATCCACGTGGAAAGGGAAAGAAAGAGTAAGAGATATCCTGAGAATTCTTCAACTTTCTTCTTCCTCTCCACCGAGGGGTCTTGCATAAGGTTGATTCTTAGTGATTATTTATTTCATTTTAAGGTTAGTTTTGATTCTTGGAGTGATAACAAAGTTTAAAGGAAGCTTAAAGTTACTTAAAACTCAAATAGGAATAAGTTATGTAAGATTAAAGGTAAAGAGTTTTCAAAGGAATTATTGAGAAAGAGTTAGTAAATAAGTTTTAAAGCGAAATTTGACTTGTCAGGTGTTGAAATAAGAAATTCAAAGTGTTAGAACTGAATTTGGAACATGTTGATTAATTGACATGATTATTGAATTCAAGTGTAATAGTTAGATATGGAATGTTAAGATGAGTTAAAGTGAAATACGTTGATTTGAATAAGTGTGGTCAAGTTTAAAGGCATGAAAGAAGAGTAAAATAAGGAATTTAGCTGAGTATGGTAAATTTTTGGGTAAGATAAATAAATTCTGGGCAATGGGGTATCGATATTTTTCATTCAATATCGATACTTCAAAGAGAAAATGAATGATATTTGGGGTAGGGGTATCGATACTTGTTGAATAAGTATCGATACTATAAAGCAAAAGTTGATAAATTGTTCAAGAAGTATCGATACCAAAGGAGTAGTATCCATACTGGGGGTATCGATACCATTGAGCAAGTATCGGTACCATTTTGAAGATGAATTCCATAATCAAAATTGGGTATCGATACTGAAGTATAGTATCGATACCATAGGGAAGAAGTATCAGTATTTTACCTCAGGGTACCGATACTACTTATATGGAATTGTTAATTTAGTACTTTGTATAGTTTAAGTTATATTGATTGGTTATAAGCAATTCGAACTTCGATATTCATATAAGTCTTATATTCGTGTAGTTATCGATCGAAGACAAGCCCAAGAAGATTCGAAGCTATAAGAATGTACAAGAGTCATAAGTGTTCGAATTGGCTAGTGAGGCTTAGGTGAGTGCATCTTATTTTGATATAGGATTATATGGAAATTGGACTTATGATAAGTCTATTTCCCATAATATAGTGCATGAAGCCATGAATACAAGCATGTGATTGACATGATTTTTATGTATGCATGAGTATATGTGTTGATATATTCTTGTATGTGTTATATGATTTATGTAAATACATGATTATATGAGAATATGAGAATATAATATAAGTTATGTGATTATATGATCATAAGATATAAGTCATGTGACAAGATATATGTGATACATGAGAACAAGATATAAACCATGTGATATGTGATATGTGATATGTGATATGTGAATATATGTCTATAAGAAGAAATAAGAATAAAACATAAACTATATGATATGAGATAAGGGATTGTGTGCATATATGATATATGTTATGAGGTAAGACATATGTGGTTACATGAGACATGATATAAGATATATGAGAAAAGGTATATGTTATGATCTAAGTGAATCATATGAAAATGTTCTACATGTAAGTGAACCATGTGCCTATATGAATATGTGAAATGACATAAATGATAATGGCCATGTTATGTAATATGAGAGCTAGGGGTATAGTTGACATGCTAAGAGTCGAGGGTTCTATGTGGTCTTTCGGGATATATATGTAATCCTTTGGAATATATATGCGGTTCTTCGGGACACATATTTGGTTCTTTGGAATATATATGTGATCCTTAAGAAGTGGTCCTTCGGGACATATATGTGGTCCTTTGGGACATATATGTGGTCCTTCGGGACATATATGTGGTCATTCGGGACATATATGTGGTCCTTCGAGACATCTATATGGTTCTTTGGGACAAATTTTACATGCCCCCAGTGGGACCTTATACGAGCTGTGGTGACAACATATGTGCACAACCTCTATGTACTCACATATCTTTAGTTCTCAGAAGTGTACATGGGCTAATAAAGAGATAAAACAAATACACTGTATGTGATATGTATGACTTGTTATGTGAAATGTATTATAGGATTTATGTGATGTTATGTGTTTGCTTTGTGAAATTGTATTATATGATGTGTATGAGTGTTAAGGACAAAATTATAGGATTAAAGGGATTAATGATAATAATATATGATAATGCTAAAAATGTAGATGATGATGTATGTGTATGTATGTATTTGTTACATGAAAGAGTATATGATGTTGTATGATATGGTATTATTAAATGTTCATGCATTGTTCGAAGTTAAAGTTTACATTATATGTTTTATATGCCTCACTAAGTCATCGACTTAGCGTGTGAGTGTTCACACGTAGGTTCCGAGAAGAAAGAAGAGGAACAATGATAGGCAAGTCAGGTCAGCTTCTCTTTTCCCAAGATCAGATCCAAAAAGTATATGAATAATATGTATTTTGTTATATGGAATGTAGCTGGCATGTAATTAAAGATTTGAACAAGATTTGCTCTGATTGGTTTTGGAAAACAATATGATTGTATTTGATATAAATTATCCAGTTTTGTTTTCAATGTGAACTCGAATTTTAGTTATTTTGTAAAACTAAACAGTTTGAAAAGTTAATGTGACATCTCGGACTCCTATCCGGGTCGGATACGGGTTAGGGTGTTTGTTGAGTTAATCGATCGATGGAATCGGCCAAGAGGGGGGTGAATTGGCAATTAAAAATTTCGTGGAAGCTTTTGCAAAAAATTGAAAGTAATTGCACAGCGATTTACAGTGGTTCGACTTTCTCAAACAAAGTCTACGTCCACTACCTTAGCTATCCACACTAAGGATTTTCCAACAAATTCACTAATTTGTTCTTTCTTTTGAGGCCAAAGAGATAACCTTACAAAATCCCTCAAGAGTATACCCCAACTCTTGAGAACACTCTTTTTCCCAAAGAGAAGATTACAAATTTGCAAACTTACAAGAAAACCTCACAAGGTAAGATGTTTGCATAATTCTAGAACAAAGAAAAGAACACTCAAAGATGAATACAATTGAGCACAAAAAGTGTTCTTGAAAGCAAAATGAATATTGAATGAAAATAGGCTTGAAATGCTCAAACTTGAGGTTTGATGCTTTCTCTTTGATTCTCTCTTGATTCTAGTTGCTTGATGTTTCTTGTTATTGATCAATGGCTTCTAAGCTTGCTTAAATACACCTTGGATCACTTCTGAACGT